ACGTCTAGAGTGCAGCACTTTTCCGGGATACCAGAGGTATCCCAGAAAAACAATACTGTGTCCACGGAATGCGTCCGCTTTTCTGAATTTTTTTTTTCAAAAAAGCGGATGCTCTCTTTCGCCATCCCTGTAAACCTCATTCTGTGAGGCATAAGGAATGTGTTGAAAGATCAGGTCCTTCCGAAATTTGGTGCCATATAGATTTGCCAAATTTTGGAAAAGCCTCTTTTGAAAGAAAATCAGGAAAAAATACACAATTTTCAGTACACAAATTGCATATCTTTTTCCGATTTAACTCTGCAGTCTAAATGTAAGCGGGGGAATGATCCCGCTATTGTGGGGAACTTTCCTGGCTTCTATACACCCCGGTGAAATGAACCAGCAAAAGGATCTGAGTCCCCGCTCCCACTTCCTTTACCCCATGGCTCCCTGATCCTGAGGGCTCCCCCTCCACTCTCCTGAGTAGCAGAGCCCTTGAAACCCCAACAAGGCTGGGCCCAGGTTTCCTGGGGCTTAATCCCTGACCTTGTAGTCACTAGGGGCAGGAGTTAGGGTGTCCCCACTCCGAGGTGCTCTCTTTACACTGCAGGCCTTCTTGGCCCAGTGATCACTTCATAAGGTTCAAAGCAAATACAATTTATTAAACAACAACTGATTAAAGAGAAAAGAATAAGAAAAAAATGAGAATGGTTAAATGAGAACACACAGCCCTGCTCTGTAGCACAGGGACATCAAAACAGCAGCCTGCAGAGTGTAAGGACAGTCCACAGTCTCTTCCTTAGAGGCCTTGGATGTGCTGCAGGGGGGGGAGGGGCTGCAGGCTGGACACGCTTGCTCTGGCAGTGACCACACAGCCTCAAGCTCTAAGTGGCCAGACCCCTCTCCCAGTCCAGAGCCTCTCCCCACACTTTGCAGTTCCCAGCTGCTCACCACATCCAGCTGCAGGCTGTGCTGTGTGGCCAGTCTCTAGCTTCTTGCATTGCTTCTCTGTTCCTTTTGGCTCTCTGAGCACTGCCAGTCTGCTGCTCAACACAGGGTCTGCGCTCTTTGAGCTGTGTGTGTCTGGCTCAGCTGCTGCAAAAACTGCCCCTCAGCACACAGCTTGCACTGCTTGGGCTGTCTCTCAGCTCTCTGTTCCTTTTGCAGGACTTCTTCTGCACACAGCTTGCTTTGCTTGGGCTGTCTCTCAGCTCCCTGTTTTTGCAGGACTTCTTCACACAGCTTGTACTCCTATTTCAGCTCTCTGTCTTTGTAGGACCTCTTCTGCACACAGCTTATTTGTTCAGAGAGAGAACCAGAACAATCCCAGCTCACAGGGAGGACGGGGCCTGGCCTCTCCCCTTCCTCACTGGCCTATCCAACCTGTCAATCAGGCTGAGCTGGAGTGTTGGCTGCTTTCCATTGTCTCTGGGGTCTGTCAGCCTCCTGAACCCTTCCCCCTCTGAAAGTGGGAGCTGGCAAACCAAAAAACTCCCACAGAGTTTTAGTAAGGGGTAACAGTCCCCTTACATAAACATAGCCTCTGATTAGTTTACTAATACCTGCACAAGGAAATTAGTTCCAAATAACCACATTGGTCGAGGGTGTGAAAAAATCTGTGCTGCTGAGTGATGAAGTTAAACGGTCCTAATCCTTGGTCTAGCTAATGTCTCTTGGGGAAAATCCCTTCCCACTGCAGTGTTTTAAGTGTAGACAAGCTGTAAGTATCAATATCATTCACGCATTCTCTAGGCCCCGTCCCAGCTTAATGCCAGTGAACAGGACAGGTACCTGTTGAGTTGTGTGAATCTTTCATAAATCTAAAACAAAATGATGTATTTTTCCATTCTCACATCTCATTGGATAGTCCTTGTTATGATGATATGTGATCATGCTTATGGCATAAGCATTATCAATATGGGAAAAGTTAGAAAAGTGTTATTCCTACAGTACAAAACTTGGGTCATCTGATTAAATTAATAGGCAGCAGGTTTAATACAAACAAGAGAATGTACTTTTTCACTCAATGCACAATTAACTCCTTCTCACAGGATGCTGTGATCGGCCAGAAGTGTAAATGGGTTCAAAAAGAGAATCTAATATGTCCTGGAGGATAAGTTACTCAAGACAATTGCTATTGGTCAAGATGGTCAGGAATGCAAACCCGAACTTGGGATGGCCCTAAATCTCTGAGGGTACATATACACAGCAGGGCAAAACTTGAATTAAGCAATGCAATTTCATCTATATCAATTACATAGCTGAAGTTAAAATAGCTTAATTCAAATTTTGGCACTGTCTACACAGAGGAAGTTGAAAGAAGAACACTATTCCTCTGACTTCTCTTATTTCTCATGAAATGAGGGTTACAGGAGTCGGAGTAAGAAGTCCTCCAGCTCACCATTATTTCAAAATAATGGCTTGCAGTGTAAATGCACACTATGTTATTTTGGAATAATGTCTGTTATTCCGAAATAATGGTTCTACATAGACACACCCTGAAGGTCAGAATATAATAATGGGTCACTCCAACTTCCCTGTTCTCTACATCCTCCCCAAAGCTCTGGGACCAGCCATGGTCAGAGACAGGATACTGAGCTAGGTGGACTATTGGTCTGACCCACTATTGTCTGACCCTTGTGACCTTACTTTTTGTTTCTTTCTCCTGGGAGAAGAGACTGTGAGTGTGTCCAGAGTATTATAGAATAGAGATGGAATCCATTCAACTCCCCAAATCTAAACATTCCTGAACTTTTGGGAAGTTTTGGTCTTGATCCCAACTTCATGAGTGAGTCCTGTCTGAACCAAAACTTTAGCTCTGAACTTATGAGTCCCAAACATTGGGAGATTTTGCAATTATCTTCCTTCTCTTTAAAGCAAGGGACTGTGGGCTTGAGAACCTCAGTTGAATACTGCTACAGATAAGAAAGATGGACACTTTTGTTATTAGGACCCAAGCCATTTAAATCTTCATTTGGGAAACCAACTGGAAAACAGCACAGAATATGGTGCACAGGTGTAATGCAGTCCACATGAGAAACTACTTCATAGGCAGGCAGTTACATTCGGCAGTAATTTTGAATGGTTTTAAGGTGTAGTTGCAAGCATGGGGGGTTGGTGCTGCTGGGGCTGAGGGAGGCAAGCCTGCAGCCCCTCCTACAACCCCACCCCCTCTGCTGTGGAGCAGCATGCTGAAAGCACCCCCTCCCCCAGGAAAGGAAAGAGGGAGAAGGGGGCATGTGCACACGCCCAAGCCTCCCCAGCCCCTGGAACACTGGGGGAGGGAGGAGGCCATGTGGTGTGGTTCCTGCCACCCTGGTCCCCAGAATACCAGGGTAGGGAGGAGGACACATGGCAAGGTGTCTGGAGCACCGGGGGAGAGAGGAGGTCACATGGTGCAGGGCTTTGACTTGCTTTGGGAGTCTCCTTGGCCCTCCAGTGACAACACAACTCTTCCCTCTCTTAGTGTACCTTAACTTCTTTGCTCTCATAGTATTGGAGTGTCCTTCTCTTATAGCTTAATATATTAATTAGCCAAGGTCACTAACATATGTCAGTTGAATTACTATGGTTATCTGTGGTTAGGCATCTGCTAATATGTCCTCCAAAAATGTTCTAAAGATGATAGGTACAAACTTCTTGCAACATTTGTGATCGTTAGAAAACTATACACAGAGTCTTATGCCATCTTGTGACTTAAGATCATTGTTAGTTTTCTAACTTATAATAGCTTACTATTGATCAATTATCCTTAGGCAGGCTGAAAGGACTCACGCTAACTGCTTAAGTTATCCTTATCGATCTAGGCCTACAAGTCTTGCACCTGTGCTGTCAATTCCTTACCTCTCTATCTTATGATTACTGCTATAATTACTGTACAGCTACTGGAGAATAACTGAATCCCCAGGTTGCAGCCTGCTCAGCATTCCCAGAACTATAGACAGTTGTGCTGGCTGCACCCCACACGTAAAAGCTAGTTTCAAATCTGAATGAGATAATCCAAAAAATGGCTTGAAAACTCTTCAGCGCAAGAAATGCTCAACTCTGTCAGTGGATGAAATGGCTCACTTAACCAGGTTGTTCACCAAGCAAGACCATTCTGCTGAATCAAACTTTGCCGGCATTAGGAAGAAAATTTCCCATGGGCAAATTATTTAATTACTGTCCATTATGAGGATGCTTGCACCTTCCTGTGAGGCATCTGATACTAGACTCTGTCAAAGACAGAGTGCAGGAGTACAAAGACCAGCTGCTCTGATGCAGCATAGTTATTGCTGTGTTCCTAATTTCCCTTCACATGAGGATTTAATTAAATAATAAAAAGTGTTGAAATTACTTGCCATTAAATTAAGTAAATGTGTGGTACAATGCAATAACACTAAACGGGATATATATCATCTTGTTTCTTTCAATGGAGTTAAAGGTAACCTTACTATATTTTAGAAATGTGCGTCTGTCGGTCTGTCCGTCCATTTGTGAGTTCATTTGTTCAAGAACAATGGGACGCGTCTGGAATTTGATTATTTCTCATAAAATGGTAAGTGAGAAGTCTGATAGAAGGGACAGTTATACTGTAGAATGACCACAGGGGGGCAGCAAGGAGCCAGAAATGGGGACTGGGGTAGCTATAACCCCACTGGGCCAGCAAGGGGTAGGAGTGGAGAAAGGGATAGCCAACTACTATATATTTCAGAGAGTTTGTCTGTTTATGTGTCTGTCTGTGTGTTTGTCCCCCAGCTGGAGGACATGCACCACTCCCCAAGCTGTGCCAACTGCAACTGCAGCAGCCATGATCAGACACTTTTCACCTGGCCTCAAGCTACTACTTTGAGAAAGGGCTGGGGTTGTCCTCTCTCCCCAGGGCAGCCTGAATACTGAACCTCTTATCCTCAGCCCCACCACAGAACAATGATTAAAATTAAGAAAAACAAAACTTACTTGAGTTAAGGACCAGAGCAATGCCAGGTAAATCTTCTAGTAAGTCATAAATCTGAACCTGCTTGTTTTCTTCTTCATGACAGATCAAGAGTCTAGACACCAAAATGACTGAACGCTTTGACTGTCACTACTGCAAGGAGTCCTTGTTTGGCAAGAAGTACATCCTGCGAGAAGAGAGTCCCTACTGCGTGAAGTGTTATGAAAGTCTTTACTCCAACACCTGTGAGGAATGCAAAAAACCAATTGGCTGTGATTGCAAGGTACTTTGGACTTGCATTTCATTGACATCACATCTGTCAAAACAGATAGGATAGGTCCATTCCCCACACGGGATCACTACAACACTACAGGAGAAAAGGAATCTGGGTGGAAGAGATCTGTTTCATAACATCTTATTAATTAGGTAATTAAGAACCTGACCTTCCACTGTGCTAAGCACCTCCTTGGAGAACCATGGGAACTGAAGATGCTCAACATTTTCCAGGAAGTGCTTTGATCCAGATTCCCAAGAATATTCATTAATTTTGAGTGCCTCACTTGATCATGGTTTGCCTCATTTTTCCAAGGTGCTGTGTAATCACAGTTCCTATTGACTTAGTGGTTTAGATGCTCAACACTAATGAACACAAGCTTTCTATGGTTCTAATGTTGGGCACCCAAAGAGTGAAATACCAAAAATTATAGGGTCGCTTTTGAGAACTTGGGGGTTAACCTCTCTGCCTCAGTCTCTCCTGGGGTTAAAAGAGGCATACTAATAATTACCTGTTTTACACAGCTAGTGTTCGGATGATTTGAATGCAAGTGAAGTGCTTCAGCTGAAAACTGGAGAGTACTTTTTACCATCTAGGAGAAACTTAAAATATCAGCCTTGTATTTGATAGGCTAAAAAATGTTAACGAGTTTCTTTCTGAATGATACATATTGATATTTTAACTGTTCATTTAACAGTAAAAATATTACTCAAGTAACACTAGGCAGAAGCTATGAAAGAGACAACATGCATGTCCCATACACTCTTGCAGCAGAAAATGTCCATAGAACTAACTTAACTGGCTACCCAGGAATTCCCCTGTAGCAGGGTGGACTCACGATTGACAGATCTCTTTGCAACTGAGTGTGATGTAGCAGCTGTTTCCTCCCCAGTCCCCTCTTGCAACAGTCACTATGATGCTGTGGCAGTCTGCCTTGTCTGGTGACTCAGCACTCCAGCCAGGTCTCATTTTAGTCCTAGCCCCTTTTGAGGTACCAAAAGTTCAATAAATAATTCCAAGGCCAAGTCTCTGGGCCCTGACCCTGGGCCTGATGCTCCTTACATCTTTCAAATCGGGATTGTGAATCATCCCTATTCTCTTCTGTCAGGGGAGCTTTACATCACTTTTCCAAGGCCAGTAGGAGAACCCAAGATCAGCCTCTGCCTGGCTTCCAGTCCAGGGATCCTAGAATCAGCAACTAAGGTCTGCTTTGCCAGACATCTCATCACAGCCTCCTGCAATTCCATTCTACTATTAGCCTTTCCTCAGGCCTTTCCCTCTGCCATTTCCCAGGCCCTTTGTAATGAACAACACCTCCAAGGGCTGCTTCCACAGGTTCAGTTCCTGCCCTTGTGCTGGGGTCTTACCCTAGTACTGTGCCTTCACATCATCTTCCCGGCCTGGACTTCCTGCTTCCACAAGTCTCTCTACGCTATAGTGATAGCAAAGCTCTGTCTTATCTCTCTCTCTCTGCAGTTCCAAACTTCCAGCACTCCATTGCTTCTTCCCAATTTTATCTTTTATTATGCCTTACCTGCCCTCCAGGTACAGCCAGAGGAGTTAACTGACCTCTCAGACACACGCTAATGCTTTCACCACATGTGTGGGATACAGACTCCCATCACATCAGGCCTCTATGTGCGTGGGGGGAGTGTGCCAAAGGTGTGAAGGAAGAATGAGGGGCTCTGTTGGGACAGTGGGTCCAGAGCTCAAGCTCAGCCACCCTCCTTCCCCCCATAGCAGGGATACTGCGCTGGTACTCCAGCCTCGCCCTCCCTCCCCCAACCCCACACTAGATTGGAGCACCAGTGTCAGCTTCCCACGGGGGGGGGGAAGGGGAGGAGGGAAGAAAGCCCTGAGCCTCGCTGCATGATCCAGCTCATGGGGAAGAAGCACTTCTGCTCCCCCTCACCTCGGTGGGGGAACAGCAGTGAGTGGGCGTGCTGCTTGGAGGCTTTTCCCACTGCTCCCATTGGCTAGAATCTGACCAATGGGAGCAGCAGGAGGCAGTGCCTGGGAGTGGCACGGAGCATGAAGGCAAGTAATTGCCCCCCATCCCCTCATGCCCAGACTCTCACACCCCAACCTCCTAATGCATTGAGACAATTGGGCCAAGGGCCAAAAAGTGTGAGAAACAATGTGTTAGGGGAATGGGAGAGTGCTGTGTTGTGGGGGGTTAGGTGGGCGGGGCTGGTGGCAGCACCGCAGGGCTGGGGGAACGGTGGCCCCCACCAACAAGGAGTGGCCCAGCCCCAGCCCCACTGGCTGGAAGCCCCTCCCATGCTCACTTGGCACTGGCCTCGCAGAGCAGATAGAGCAGCAGCAGGCAGAGGAGGCCAACGGAGCGAGGGGCCATGGCAGCCGTACTGTCTGCTAGGATCCCAGAACATAATGTCTATAAAAGCTTTATTACTGTATACATTTTTAGGATGTTATAACAAAAAAATTTACCAATCACTGTTTCCACTCAAATTAACCTCTCTTACACACACTCATTGCATGACTAGTTTGAACTCCTTTATATTTAAAAAAAACTACAGGCCACATTTACAAACAAAGTACCACCAGCCCCAGAAATTCCTGTATATGGGCGTGACACTCCTATATAAGTGTATCCCCTCAGGAAGACCAGCAATACACCTCATCTTCCCGGTTAGCAAATGTGGTTAGGAGCTCTCTGTAGGTCACAAGCAGCTGAACATGGGTTAAAGCAGATGTAAGGCTGCTTTCCTTTAACTTATGCTAGAGCCAAACTTCTCCCCAACTGGCCTTAGAACCAGAGAACTGCAAACATGGCGTAAGGTCATGAACTCAAGAGCGATGGCCTGAATTTTCAAAACTATCTTGAAGAGGGTACAATTCTACAGTCTGTGTGTAGGCACCTAGAAATAATTTCAAAACTTTTTTACTCCAGTTTGGAATGTAATAGTGAAGCCACTTACCTCAGACATTCCTATGTACATTTTCCACATCCAAACTGCTTATCTAATAATCTAACCACTGCGAACATGAAAAATAAGCACTTTGCACAATTATCATTTTCATGGTGGAAATACGATGAAGGGGAGAGCTAGGGTGGTGGAATTTGGGAGGAGGTGGACAGAAGAAAACTGAGGAACTAAGGATTAGGCACCTATTAATGGGTGGGTTCAACAGATTGGACTCTCAAAAGCTGGTACAAATGCCAGTTCTTACCTCTTCCCAATTCATTGACCCACTGTGAAATGCCGGCCAGTAAGAGGTTATGTCACTACAGTTCTCCTGCAGCTCTGCATGCCTTTAATGCAATGGTGCTATGGTCACCAATAGCCCTAACACCAATAGACAGTAAACCAGCATGCAGGTCACACCATGGCTTTCACCTTCTTTTTGCAGAGCAGCACCCAACACCCTTTCCCAGTCCTGCGTTTCCCCAAAATTATCTGCTCTGCTGTGTCCAGTCCTCTCCTGGAACAGTCAGAGTAGTTAAGTTCACTGTTCATTTAAAGAACAGTAGCTCGTTAATATAACTGAGGTTTGACACATGCTCTATTTTAATCACAGCACTTAACTGGTTTAATGTACAAGTAAGACACGTTTATGAAACAAAACGCCCTCAGTGTAAGTGATATCAAGTATAAAGCTAGAAAGGGTTACCAGCAGTGTTCCCTACCAGTGTTCCCACAAAACATTCTTAGCCCGCCCACTTCCTTCACAGCAGTACTCGCCTTCCTGCTGGCATGGCTTCTACCACAGCCAAGGCTGCGTGGTAGGTGGGTTCCTGCTGCTGGGAGTCAGAACCATGGGCAGTGAGATTGCTGCTACCAGGGGTCAGAGCTGCAGGCAGGCAGGCTACAGTGCTGAGAATTGGGGTTGCGGGAGGGTTGCTGTTCCGAGCCTTGGGGCCGCAGGTGGGTAGTTTGCTGCTCCCAGCAGTTAGCACCGTGGACGGGTGAGCTGCTGCTGCCGGGGGTGAGAACTGCGGCCACATGGTGGGTGGACTAATGGCAGTTACGTTCTGCCAGCACAGACTTCTATGCTCACACAATCACACTGATATCCCTTTGCATGTTGGGACCTTCCTTGATAATAGGTTTGATGAACATTTTTCACCTGTTTCTTACTCATTTGGAATTAGCCATTGCCAGAGGCAGGATGCCAGATTAGATGAACCATTGATTCATTTCTGCCCCCTAAACAGGAAAATATCTGGGTTTTGCTGGGTTTTGTTTTAAACTAGATGAAGGGAGAAATAAAGAAAATATAGGGGGGTTTTCTGAAACTGAGAAAAAATGAGTGTAAAATGAGAGTGTTTAGAATTCACCATATTTTAAATAACGGAGGTTGTAATATACTTGCATACCTAGATATATAACTGAAATCATTACATTCTGCCATACCAACTATTATGACCTCCCGGATGTTCTCTTTCCAACATTCTACTATATATAAAGAGATTCTCCAAAGTCAAGCAATATGGGTTAATGCTTGTAAAACAACATTTACAAACACTGTTTATTATTTGACCATGCTCTGCGTATCCTTAGAAGCCTCACAATACAGATAAAACAATTAATATTTTTGTTTCTCTTGTGCCCCAGAACCATTTTTCACTCCAGTGGCACAAAAGTACCCTAAAGGCAGTGATCTCACTTCCCTACTTGGGTCTTGTTCCCAGTGTAGGTAGGGGGCTCCCTATCTAGCTTAGAGCCAATGAAATGGCTCTGGATATACCCCCCTTAGAGCTCCTGGAATAGGGGCATTTTGGAGGAAAACTAAAGCAGTGCTACACTGTGCTTATTCTTGGCCTACTATGACTTCTATAGACAGTAGACAGTGCAGATTTAGAGCAGCCTAGAAGCTAATCCTACATACTGAAAACTTTGCAGTATTAATTTTCTCTTTATTTGACTTCATATTAAATAAACATTTAAAGTGTGTGTGTGTGTGTGTGTGTGTGTGTGTGTGTGTGTGTGTGTGTGTGTTAGCACTTTTGTTCTAACCTCTCTTTCTAATACCCTGAGAAGATA